GAAAGAGGGAACCTGCAAAAATGGGGAAATATATGGTTTTCATCTTGTGGATTTTATTATTAAGGAATCATAAAGTTTGAAGAGAATACAAGAGCCATCTACACATCAGGGGATTGGGTTGAATTGCTCTTGTGGTCACTCCCAACTCTATGATTCTATTATCTATATTTGTCTATATATTTATCTATATATGAAATTTCTGTGGATTTGATTATTCTGAAATCATAGAGTTCGAAGAAATCACAAGGGCCATCCAGTCCAGTCCCATGCATCTGATTTAAAATGGTTCCTCTCTCTACGTCATCTGGTGTGGCAAACTTCCTCTAGTCATGCTAGAAGACCTAGTGAAGAAACACTATGGCTTCCAAAGTGATTCTATGTCAGCTTCCAGCAGAAGTTGACTTTAGGATTATGATGGAAGATATAGAACTTTCTAGAGTGCTGTTCTCTCCGGTTTAAAAAACAGCTATTTTCATGTTTTTTCCTATGCTCCTGGCCTCTGCTACACTCAAAGTGTTGGCTCCATCTTATGAAATCCTATGATATGTGGTTTGGTGAGGTACTAGAACTCTCTTGCTTAGAATCCTAAATACTCCTTCCCACACTGCAGATCCATAGGATGTTACCAATGTGATGCGGTCCCACAGGGCCATTTGATAGCCTCAATGTGATGAGGTGCTTAATGACCGTGGTAACATCCGATTGCCAGTCTCTATAGTGAATTGGTGGGGCAGTGAGGAAATCCTGGCATTCCCACCTCACCAGCAGCAACAATTCCCTATCAAACATGAGGAATCCTTGCTGCACAGCTTTCCCCTGCACAGGCCCTGTAGTTTCCAATGGAACATGGGAAGCTTCCTACATTCTGGCCGCAGCGTTGTAGAATGCTTACACCCCAGTTTATCAATGGAGCCCCACCAGAAGTAAATCTATGTTGTGTAATGGGCAGCGAGGGGCTCCATCAATCAGCTAGGATGATTGCAGCCCATTGTGTGATGAAGTCCTTAAATGATGTCAAAGTGCTATGACTGAGTAGTGCAAAAGAGATGGTTTTCTGTGAATTAAGTTCTTAGAACGCTTTTCTGCCAAATATGCAAGTTGATTTCTGTGTTTTCAAATAAATGAAAAACATCCAAGTTGCATTGTGTTTCCCCCACAAACTATATAAGAAGGGAATGCTTTTATGATCATTACTCATTTAGAGCATAAAGGTTAATGGAATAGCACGATGATGCAGCGAAACAGGTCATCTCATTCCGGTACCGATTGCCCACTGAATGCCGCCTGGATAAATTACTTCATGTAATCACTGGTCTGGTCCCTGCTCTGTCTTTGTTTCTTTCTGGAAACCAGACCAAAAAATAATAAGAAAAAAAGCTTGTTCTTACTTTTCCAGTCTCAAGGTAATTAGGGAACAAGGAATAATTAGGATGCAACCTTCACATGGCTAATTAGAAACTTGTCCAATCACATTAGGAAATGAGAGGCAGGGTCGTATCTGTTAATGAGCAAATGGGACTTGAATCAGACAAACATTTGATTCTGGTAAACCAGGGTTATCAAAGATTACCCAGACTGTCAGAGAAGTATGTCCTCCTTTCATTTTAGGATTTTCACACTATTCTTGCTGTGGGACTCACTTTCAGGGAAGTAGATACAGCAGTATTAAGAATATAGTTGCTCATTCACTTATAAAATGAGCATAAGAGAACATAATTAAAAGGAGCAAACCTGACTCTTCTCTTCTTTTTTACTTCACTGCACTTCATAACCAAGCTATTTTCTCTCTTTAAGTCTCGCTTTTGTTACTGGACTGAAGCGTGAGGGAAGGGGTTGTTTTAAAATAATGACATGCTTGTAAAGTTGAGAAGGTGTGGGTTTTATATTAATATATACATATATATATTTTTAAAAGAGAAAACATGTATAAACTACTTTTTGGGCATCAAGAGATGTCTCCAAAGCGGATTGCAATGTTAAGCCTTTTTTTTAGAGTCAGGAGTGACTTGAGAAACAGCAAGTCGACTCTGCTGTGAGAGAATTAGCTGTCTGCTAGGATGTTGCCCAGGGGACACCTGGATGTTTTGATGTTTTGCCATCCTTGTGGGAGGCTTCTCTCATGTCCCCACATGGAGAGCTCGAGATGATAGAGGGAGCTCAACCTATGACCTGTCGGTGTTAAGTTTTTTTGGCACAAGGGTTTAACCCACTGCGCCACAGGGGGCTCCAATGTTAAGGCTAATCCATATACATAAATAAATTAAACAAACAAACTAGAAAGCCAGTGTACCTTTTGAAACCGATGTATTTGTCATGTCAGGGCAACCAGTCAATTATATTACATTTCTAACAGAACAAAGCAAACAAACAAACAAACAGACAGACAGACAGACAAAATACAAAATTTGTGAGTTTGGTAGTTGATTAAATGTCCTTTGACCAGTATCTGGCCACTTGGAGTGCTTCTGGTGTTGCTGCAAGAAGGTCCTCCATTGTGCATGTGGCAGGGCTCAGGTTGCATTGCAGCAGGTGGTCAGTGGTTTGCTCTTCTCCACACTCGCATGTCGTGGATGCACTTTGTAGCCCCATTTCTGAAGGTTGGCTCTGCATCTCATGGTGCCAGAGCGCAGTCTGTTCAGCGCCTTCCAAGTCGCCCAGTCCTCTGTGTGCCCAAGGGGGGAGTCTCTCATTTGGTATCAGCCATTGGTTGAGGTTCTGGGTTTGAGCCTGCCACTTTTGGACTCTCGCTTGCTGAGGTGTTCCAGCGAGTGTCTCTGTAGATCTTAGAAAACTATTTCTTGATTTAAGTTGTTGATGTGCTGGCTGATACCCAAACAGGGGATGAGCTGCAGATGTCTCTGCCTTGGTCCTTTCATTATTGGATGCTACTTCCCGGCGGATGTCAGGTGGTGCAATACCGGCTAAGTGGTGTAATTTCTCCAGTGGTGTAGGGCGCAGACACCCCGTGATAATGCGGCATGTCTCATTAAGAGCCACATCCACTGTTTTAGTGTGGTGAGATGTGTTCCACACTGGGCATGCGTACTCAGCAGCAAAGTAGCACAGCGCAAGGGCAGATGCCTTCACTGTGTCTGGCTTTGAAACCAATAAAACCAACACACAAGCAGGTAGAGACAAAAGTAAGATCGAATAGGCAGTCTTCCTAAAAAACATTCATGAGGAAGCCACCCTAACCTTGTTTGGGAAAGGGGTCTTTCTCTTATCTTTTGCTCTTCTTCTGGGATCAAACATAATTTCACAGTTTAATAGTTTATTATTCACTACATTTCCCCAAACCGTTTGTTCAACATTATTTTGGGATTCTGGGAAATGTAGCCCAAGAAGGTAGTTTTGCAAAAGTCTGGAAAGATCTGCCCCAATCCTCCCTCTGTATATAAATGGTGCATGTACTTAAGGGGCACATGCTAATTCTATTGGCCCAGTTTGATCTTAAGTTATGAACCAGAAAGCTCCCAGTTCAAATATAAACTGCTGCAGTATTACTTGTTGGCTTCAATTATTTCTCTTCACCCTCAGTCCTTTTACTGGCAGCATGGACTTGCTATAAAGGGTTATTATTTGGTTAAGTCATATAATAATATATGGTTAATTCGGGAGCCCCCGGTGGTGCAGTGGGTTAAACTCTTGTGCCAGCAGGATTGCTGACCGACAGGTCAGCTGTTGAAAACCAGGGAGAGCGGTTTGAGCCCCCTCTGTCAGCTACAGCTCTGAATGCAGGAACATGAGAGAAGCCACCCACAAGGATAGTAAAACATCAAACATCCGGATGTCTCCAGGGCAACATCCTTGCAGACAGCCAGTTCGTTCACACCAGAAGCAATTTGCAGTTGCTCAAGTCACTCCTCACATGAAAAAAAATGGTTAATTCAGATTGTGCATGTGAAGAGCTAAAGTACCACATAAAAACAAGCATTATTCTAAATTCAATGTTGGTTTACTTGAAAATGGCCCAGGTAGCCTGCATATTAGTAATCCAGGTTTCCTGGTAATGCATGTGTTCATGGTAAATGTTCAAGATGGCACAGAAATTTCCATTTGTGTCAGTAGCTTATTGCTTATTCTACAACCCTGATTAAATCCTGCCCTAGAAGTAAATCAGAAAAACAAGGAGGAAGCTTAATACCAAATGGCTGAGTGCATGTTCATTTTCTTTTGCATCAGGCATAGTAATAATCCTTGGCCTAGCATTAAGACTGTTTAACCTCTGGGAAGCTCTGGATTTAATCAGTAGTGCTTGTTATACCGGCAGACTTCACAATGTGGAAATTGAGGATTGAGTGATTGACAGGATTCTTCTGCAAGGGCATTGAAGAACGACTTAGTACTTTGCACAAAATTGATTCTAGGAAGCTGAGCTACCAATTATTCCAAAGCAAAAAGAGGAAGAAGAATAGAGGGGATAGGATCAACTTTTCTCAAAAGGGCCCATAAGTCCATGGCAAGAAGCTAAGGGAAGATAGCACCAGGCCTCTACACTTCAAAAATGTGCTGCCCTTTCCTTTGTGCTGATACACATGTATGTATATTGATTTCACTTAAATGGTTAAGCATCCCTTATCTTGAATTCCAAAATCCTCCAAAATCGAAAATTGTCTAATGGGTGGTTGAGATAGTGGTCCCTTTACTTTCTGATGGCTCAGTGTATGTACATACTTTCTTTCATGTACAAAATGTTACAGTTGTTGTATAACATTGCCTTCAGTGTTTTGGGTTTGGGATTTTGGGGGGATTATGGAACACCTGTATTTGCATATGTGTATATAATAAGATATCTTGGCGATGAGACCTAAGTCTAAACATAACATTAATTGATGGTTCACATACACCTTATACAAGTAGCCTGAAGATAATATACAGCTGCTTCTCTTAACTTTTATAGCCTTCTGTAGCATTTCCTTGTGAAATGCAACCAATCTGTTAATACAATTTAAATATTTAAAAATCTTTTTTCTTCCCACCCCACCTCTTTCTTGATACAGGAGAAGAAAATTTGCTGGCAATCTTGAAACGAAGATGGTGGAAGTACATGATCCTGGGGATAATAGATATAGAAGCCAATTACCTGGTAGTTAAAGCTTATCAATATACGACTTTTACTAGTGTACAGGTAAGATTTCCAATTACTGATTGTATACCTTAACATGCCTATTTGCTTGCTTGCCGTGCCCTTATATGTTCAATCAACCTGTAGAGGAAAATGGGGATTGCATACACTAGATTTGTCCTTGTTTTATATGTGTCACAAACAATGAGTCCTGTGGAGATAAAGCTGTAGGCATGTGAGGCCCACTCCCTCCTTTTGCAGCCAATTACAATATAGAACTGGAAACAGCCATCACAATTCTATTCCCATCCACAAAGCACATGAGCAGAGTGGCGTGAGAAGACAGCAAATGTTCTCCCTTTGCAGGTCGCAGACTTTCATTGTCTGTTTTTACTCAGTGTTGTGAAGAGTGGAATGATGGGTATGAATTTGATGCTGCAAGCCCAATTCTGTGGAAAGCCAACCCATGTAATTTTGGCAACCTCAGGTTCTGTAAGGACTCAGTTGGGGAAATGCATCAGCCATCATGGAAAGCACCAATAATACAGCAGTCAGGTAGCCAGAGAAACAATAGATCGGAGCCAAAGACTTACTTCTGCTAATGCTGGTTATTCCAGCCATGCTCTGTGCTAGCAAGACGTCTCTACTACGACCTTCAAATGCTAGAAACCAGGCATTGTGTCCACATATTTTTTACCAACCAAAGGTTACTCAAGTTGCCACAGGCCTCTTCAAGCACAACTATTTTTGCAGCAAACTTAGGTGAAGGGCTTCCATAAAAGTACCTCAGATTTCAGCCATGCCAGTGCAGATGCTAGAAGCAGCTGAACTTTGATCATGTAGAGAAGATTGCTTCATAGCAACATCTTCTCAGATGGTACAATACCCAGGTGGTTTGACAACAAAACTGACTGGTCATTTGAGTCCTTCAATTGTGAACCCTGCCAGGCAGAACTTAAAAGAAGAGACCAGATTCTCAGAAATGTGTTGGAAGATAGCTATCAAAATTGCTATGGAACATGCAGCACCTCCCTGTTTTCCTCCTTCATCCCAGTGTATTGTTTTGCTTAGCTACGTGCTGACTTTATCTCAGCCTTGTGTATTGGAAGATGGCTTTTGGATTCTGACAAGCAATGCATTGTGCTTCCGCCACACACTCTTTCCCTTCATTCTCTACTTTCTTTGCTTAGATCAGGAATGAAAAACTTTGGGACTTATGGAAGATTTTCTACAGGTCCAGAATACCTTGCCATCAATCAAAGCGCATGGGTCTTCTAGGACAGTGATTCTCAACCTGTGGGTCCCCAGATGTTTTGGCCTTCAACTCCCAGAAATCCTAACAGCTGGTAAACTGGCTGGGATTTCTGGGAGTTGCAGGCCAAAACACCTGGGGACCCACAGGTTGAGAACCACTGTTCAAGGAGTGAAGTCCAAAACATCTGGAGAGCCAAAGATTCTCCACTTCTGACTTATGCCTTTAACTATGCCAACTAGTACCTGAAAGTGTCTCTTATATCTCATTCTCTGACAGTTATAGCAGCCCATACATTTTTCCTGGCAGACAAGCTAGGGTTTATAGCCATTGGGACTCCACGCTCCTTCCATGAAGGACAATGCTATTCATTCAGAAAGAGATCCAACTATATTCAGGAGGCCTTATTTGCAAAAAGGTATGCACAGTATTGCACTGTAATCGCTAACCCTGTACTTTGTCTCTTTGGGAAGCCAGATATAAACGCTTTGTCTCTCCTCCCTCCTTCTCTCTCTCTCTCTCTCTCTCTCTCTCTCTCTCAAAAAAAGGAACATGCAATGGGAACAGAAGGTTTGCTTTTGCCCAGCCAATAAATTCTGAAAACCTCAGCTCTCTACCACCAAAATATTTAATATAAGCTGCCATTTTTACTGTCCTGAAATGAGGCTGTACGCAGGTCATTCTGGGAAAAGTGGGAAAATCTTCCCACAGAAACAAAGGCATTCAGCTCCTTGAAAATTAGCAAAATGGCTTTCTCAAATAGCATAAACAGGGCAAGGAATTTGGAAGTGCCATTTTCCTCCAATACTAGATGTGGCAATTGGAAATGTAAAATCCTGTCAGATGTATGAGCTCAATGTGTAGAAACAATAGGTCATACTGGGACAGCAGTAGCTGTCAAGATGGCACAAAATGCCTAAATTTGTGCTCCTGTCAAGCAGCCCATTCACATCAAATATTCCTCTATGAGGTCGTGTGCCTGAACATGCCATCACTGTGAGCAAATGTCCTTGTTTTTCGTGATCTGCCCTTAGTTAGAACAGTAGCTAAGACTATACAGAAAATAAGTATACATTCTAACTGATGACACTGAAATTTCCATCAAGGAAGTCTATAGTTTTAAAAGATAAGCAGTATCTGTATCATTTCAGCAGATGATCAACTTTATTGTGCATTTTCTTTTTCACTTGATGTGTCTGCTCCATGATAGAAAACTCTACATGTACCATACTTGTGACATTTTACAGAAACAAATATTGGGCAGCTCTCTGCAGAAGCCTACCTTTATTCCAGTTACATGCTACCTGTTCATGCCCAGCATTATTTTTAAAATTTTTAATTATTGCATTTGGCCCAGCCATTGGTTTTTAAATGCGTCGTGTTATTGTTATTGTTTTTGCTATTTTGTTATGAGTTTTGTATTGTTTTGGTATTATTGCTGTTATTGTTATTGCTGTGTTTGGGCTCGGCCTCATGTAAGCCACACCAAGTCCCTCAGGAGATGGTAGTGGGGTACAAATAAAGTCTTATTATTATTATTATTATTATTATTATTATTATTATTATTATTACACTTAGCTATCAAAATAAATTTGAGTAGAATTTGATGCATGCTTTTGTTTTTAAATGTAAATATTTCTAAATTTCCTTTAAGATATGTTGTCTTTGCTACCATGGACTCCTGAGTGAGTTATTTTCTTGGTCTGAGCTGAAGGGACCCACTTAAGGCTGTGTATATTTTACACCTACTACGCACACTACCTATGAAGCAGAGAAGAAGAATTTTGACTACATTTAGAAAAAGGTGGTATTCTAATGCTTTGGAGTTTGTTGGGCATTGACGTATTCTCTCTTTCCTCACATCATGTGATTCACATGAGACAGATTGTTTCTTATTTGCAAAGAACTAGAACACATAGCTGGAAAAAATTTCTCCCAGCCACTGTAACTTTTCAAAATAACTTTTCCAAGCTCAGGAACAGCAGCTGAGTTCGCAGACCACAACCCACGATTTCCCTCTTTTATATTGATTTTTCACAAACCCAACTGTCCCACATGTCTTCTGTGTATCAAAAATGTTTTTACTTGACATCTTAAAAACAACATCAACAACACTCCATGGCTGAAATCCCACCCCAGTGCAGCCAAATTTTATATATGACTTTTTAAATTAAGTGTGGGTTGGCAATCTGTCAGTGGGCTGTAAGAGTTTACATCTAACTTACGCTATCGTGGCCTACTTTTGGATCATCGAGGAGTTGGAATTATTTACTAATAATGCAACAACCAAAATTCTTCCAACCTGTCTTTTAAGCAGCCAGTGGAGACACATCCAGTTATTTTCCAGTGGCTGCACGTGTAGTAAAGACATCATCCACAGGGATCTCTGAGGATTTCTGGAGGCTTCTATGGATGCTGGTTACAGCACACCTAACTACAAGAATATGAATTAATGGGTCTCCGGTAATCCCCCTCCACTCTTCAACAACTTAGAAACAGTCACGTTGGGGCTGCTATATCACTTAAGAGGAGAATTGGGTGAATAGCACTATTGCAATAGAGATGTAGCTACATGTCATGTTTATGGCTGACAAGGCAGGAGTTATTCTCCAAGCCATGGATAATTAGTGTTGTTGTTTTTATGATTTTTATATTTGGGGGTTTAAATCCCTTTCTATACTTGTGCACTTGCAAGGACTTGTCATTGCTGTTGACAAAAGCATTGAGCAATCATTCTAAATGTATTGCTTCCTTTTTAAAAAAAACAGTTTCTTATCATCGAAAATACATTGAACATATACTGTTAAATACTTGGAGAAAAATTCCCTATAGAACAATATTCTCAGAGTTGTTTCTCTATATTATAACAATATTATTATACATTTAATTTGGTCCTACTATTGTAATATTCGTTCTTGTCTTTAAAAATTCGGATCATTATCTCTTACTCATGGTATTGATAAGGCCAATTGGCTGATCAATAAAACAGTGTCAGTTTCTTATATGGGGGTTATAATTCTAAATTGGGTTGCTTTGTTTTGCCTACTGCCTAAAAACAGGTCAGGTCACACTAACCAATATATTGTTAGAAGATTAATTGTGTTGAGTCATCAAGTATATCAATATATTTCAGAAAATGAGAGGTTTTAGTGCATTTAGATGACATTAGTAAATACCTATAATAAATTTAGCTTATTCCACAAGGTTAAACCCTTGTGCTGGCAGGATTGAGGACTGACAGGGCAAAGGTTCGAATCTGAGGAGAGCAAGGATGAGCTCCCTCTGTCAGTTCCAGCTCCCCATATGGGGACATGACAGAAACCTCCCACAAAGGATGGTAAAACATCAAAACATCTGGGCATCCCCTGGGCAATGTCCTCTCACATGAAATAAAGCTTATTTCTACTATTGTAATATAAATAAATGTATGTTAATTCAAAATTTGCCTCAGTTATTTAGTGCAGATGTGAAATTTACTTCTGTGGTTGAGTCTGGTCATGCAGTGATTAACTAGTTAGCTATGAGAAGTCCACAAGAAAGATTTGAGAGTAAAAGCACATCTAGTTACTGATGTCCCAGGCTTCTTCACAGCAGGCTTGTTTTTTGAAGGCACTCTAAAATGTGTAAAATAGACAGTCTTATGAAATAGCTTGTGTTGGATTTAGTTGTGGAACCCATGGCCCATCATTTATCCTCATAGTCCAATTCCAATTGGATCCAAGTGGGAGGTGTATTCAACAACATCCAGGAGCCACAGGAACCCCTCCTTTGAGGTAAACACTCTTCTAGAATTTTAGGAGCCATCTTGATA